CCCCATTTTAACAGTAGATAGTTTTCAGGTTTATTTTTATGGAATAAAACTTGATAGTCTGCTTTTTGGTACTGCTTCACAATTAGCAACTAAAAAGGAGATAATCATGCTTCATATAAGGATCTAAATCAGACTGCTACTGGCTATGGGAATTAGATTCTATGTCTTGTGGGGAAACTGCCATTTCTAATCTTGGCTATATTATGAGCTGCCAGCTCCGCAGCCCAAACTGGAAACTCCCAATATTCCTAACAATTCTCATGAAGGTCAACAGTGACTCTTGTTATCATTGAGTGGGCCCTCAGTGGAAGACTTGGGGTCTCTAGAAACCTTTGTAGGCATACAGCAGCAACAATTCCATGCTTTATTGTTGTAATGTTGGGGGGAAGCTGTTGTAGTGGGCAGCCTGCCAACTAAAGGCAGGACACCTGGCTTCAAATGTCCTTCTCAAAGTGTACAACAGGAACACGTTCAAAAATAGCCTTCCAAGATGGGACCAATGGTTTATTTAGTCCAGCATCCTGCTCCTCACTATGCTCATTCAAATACCAGTAGAAATCCATAAGCAGGTTATGAAAACAACGTCCTCTTCAGCTGCTGTTCTTAAGCAAATAGTATTCAAACATACAGTGCCACTGGACTTGGAGGCACTATAGACATTATAATTACTAGCTACTGGTTAATTTAGCCTCCACAATTTTGTCTATCACATTTTATAGTTCAATGATGAATTTTACCTAAGAATTTTTTTCAGCTCTGAATCTTCCATTAACAAGCTTCACTGGATAATTACAGTGAATCTAAATGAAGAACTTTTATGTAAAACCACTAAAAAAGCATCTTCCTTAAATTGCTTTTTTAATAAAATAAAAAAACACAAATAAGGATAAACATTCCCTCAACCTTCTTATCATTTTAATATTTCAACTGTGGTCATAATATAGAACTGAATTCTATACAGTAGCATTGCAATATTAGCATCCCCTCTGGCTTCCTGTGTGAGTCATGACTGACTGAAGATGTCCCCTTGAACAAGTGGAGACAACGACCGCTGTGCAGAATGGAAGACCGGTGAGTAGACTGGTCCTTTGAATTTCTCCAGAGAAGGAGAGATTGGGAGATTGTCCATGAGTGCTTTGAATGGCAGTTCCTCGCGAGGAGAATGTAAAACAGCAGTATCCTGTGGGTTTGAGCGCCAGGAGCTGAGGGAGACAACATCTTTGTTCTCAACAGTGGCAAAGCCTTTCATAAGGACACAAAGCCAGCCAAATTCACTTTTGGAAATGTTCAATTTCACCACTTTATGGATATTAGAGACAACAAGCTCAGCTTGACACCTGGTGAGTTTTACCTTCTTTGGATTTAAGAATTCTTAAATAAAGCCTCAAGAACTTAAAATAATATAAAATTGGCAAAAAGCAAACAAAAAAAAAGGATTTTGATTTAAGAAAGTTTTAAACAGATTAGGAGACCAGAGAGATTTGGAATATTATTTTTGCCCTAAGATTTGAAAAACAAGTATATAATTAAATAATATACTCATGGGAAATGACTGAAACAGAACTAAATCCATATTAGGAACTGAGACTTGATGAAGGTTGCAACTGGACACTTAGAGAGAACTAAAGGACCAGGCAGAAAAGAACTAAAATGGCCAAGCTAGCTATAACTTTTTCTTATTTTAAAGAGTTTTTTTTTACATGGGCTGAAATATTAATAACTAACATCTCAGAAAGGATACAGATTTCAATGGATAAACTTTTAGAAGACAATGAGAAAATTTTTTTAAAAACTTTTACCTGACATAGACATTATAGAGTTTGAAGGCATGGAAGACAATGAAATTGAGATTATCAAAATGA